TTAGCGCAGAGTTAGCTCAGGAGCCTATCGACGGCTTTGGCATGCTGCGCGTAAGCGCCTGCAAACGTTACACAAGTTCGTTACGAGGCAGAGCATGCAGCAAAGGAAGCTTCCCTGGAGCTTCCTTTAGTGCACGCGTGGGGCTGGCTTGCTCTGCTAGCCGCAGCGGGGTGCGCTGCAACCCCATTTCGGGCTGCCTCCTCCCCGCGACACCCTGGCCCTGGGCTCAACGCCCAGGATGCCTAGGTACCGCGGAAGGAGGTCAGCTGCTTTTGGAAAACTCTTGCTTTAAGTCTTTGCCTTCATTGCGGCTCGTCTCTGCTCAGGTAAAGGCCAGAGAACTAGCTTTACACTTGGTAGCACCGCATGGTTCATCGGGGCAAGGTGCGAGCCCGGGTCCCACCCCCACACGGGTGACATCAAGCATAGCTGAAAAACAAACGACCAAGAAGAAAATATACAAAAAAAAATTTTTATTTTATCCGTTTATTTAGGTCGAAATAAAACCCATTTCCCTTGTAGACGGAACCTCTCCCAACTCCAGTGTTCCCTTCGGCAAGATGGAGGTCGACTATGAGCCACTAACGGAAGGGGGGTCGATGCACTGTCCTGAACTCCAGTAAGCGGAGGCCAGCTCCATTTCGGCATCCAATTCTGGAGAAAATGCATTCCCGCCAAAAACGATTCAAGAGGAGTGCCTCCGGCTGTGCCGTCCAACGCGATATGACGGGCGCCGCGATGTAGAGGCTTTGGAGGGGTTCCTCAATTCCCTAGACCTATACCTCCGCATTCAAAATGCCCCAGAAGACTTCCAACTCCTCCTGGCCTCTTCCTTGTTAGAAGGGGACGCACGGCGATGATGGCTACACTTATGCAACGGCTCCACGTTTCCGGAGCACATCAGGTCCATGCAGGCCTTCCGAGACGCGCTACGTTGCAGGTTTATCCCGATGTCCGCAAGGGAGCAGGCTATGGCGGAACTGAGAAAGCTTAAACAGGGAAAAATGTCAGTAGAGCGCTACATTGAGAAATACCAGTCCTTGGTGAACCGAAGTCCTATGGTGGCAGCGGAGCTCCACTACCAATGGTTTACAGCGGGGCTGGAACCCGTAGTGAGGCAAACAGTGACTGGCTGGGCCACGGACAGGGAAATGAGGGGCGAAAAAGTTGAACTTGCTGACATGATGGAATTCCTCCGCAGAATGGAAAAGGAAAACGCCACACCCACAGCCTTAGCTGAAAAGGAAGAAAACGGGCCTGGGAACAATCCCGATTTGGAACCAATGGATAATGGGGCTGTGAACACCAATCCAGCTAAACACGGGGCTAGAAGCGGCTACCGTCAGCAGACGGCGACCTCACCACCTAAAAAACACGACGGAGACTCTGAACGGCGTACCTGCATCTTCTGTAGTAAACCGGGTCACGTATTTCGAGATTTCCGGCTTATGAAAAGGGCTAGGGAACAATTGAGACCAAACCCCGAACAGCGCCGCCAAGGGAACAAACAGAGCAAGCAGGGAAACGCCCGGCCCCCTACGCAACGTGCGGCGCAGTGAAGGGGCCACCCGAGATAACGGTCGCACCTACAGACCCACCTCGAGTCAATTCAGTACTTGTACAAGCACGAATAAAGGGACAGGATTGATTGGCCCTACTCGATACGGGATGTGAAGTGAATATGATATCGGAAGCCGCAGCAAGGAGATGCAGCCTACCGGTCTACTCATCGGCGCAATCTCTGAGGCCACGCTTCGCAGATGGCAGGCAGGATACTAGAATCGGCAAAACTATGGGCGTAAAATGCTCCATCAGTACCAAAACCGGGCACATTCCTATGACTAGGGACTTCTACGTTGGACCTGTTCACCACGACATAATCCTACGCATGCCGCGGGTGACCCAGTGGAAGGCGCAAATGCGTTCCTCTGATTGTGCCATAGAGGTCATTCCGCCTGGAAGTGATGAGAGAGTGCACCTCTCAGCGCTCCCAACGGCATTTGCATCCTCTATGGTTCGAGGTGTGGAGACTGTGTCCGAAGAAAAAGGGAGCGACGAGGCTTCCCCACCGTGCAGAGGCACCGAAGAGAATAATGGAGGCACCCACGCACTCCGTCAT